CTGACCGACTCACTCACTCACTCAATCAAATCAAATCAAACCAAACCAAATCAAGCAACCAATCAACCCATCACTCAATAAAACCATTCATTCAATCAATCAAATCAAACCAAACCAAATGAAACCAACCAAATCACTCACTCACTCACTCACTCACTCACTCACTCGCTCGCTCGCTCGCTCACTCACTCACTCACTCACTCACTCACTCACTCACTCACGCACATACCCACTCAATGAAACAGCAATAACAGCAATAACAGAAACAACGGCAACAGCAACAACGGCAAAAGTACTAGGCTTGTACTTGTCTTACCCGATAGGTGTTTTCCTGTATCAAAATGAAGTTCCGTCAAGCACCAACGCCCCATACGCTTGATTCTAGTGTTCTTTCAGCACAACCTCTCTGAGGGATTGCACAGCTCCTTATTTCCACTACCGACCATACATAAACCCTCGAAGACAAGGCACGCAAACAAAACCTCCAGCGGCGATAGAGGAAAGGGCATCTTCTTCACTTTGGCACTTGAATGTTGACTTTAAAGTGAAGTCGCTCCTGAATAAGTTGAACAAGGACATGCCCCGCTGGAGGTCTGGGCCCCACCGAAATCAGTGAATCATTCGACCAACCCGACAGCCCTGGCTTCCTCCTGACAGGGGCCCAACAAGTTCCTTTCCGGAACGGGCGCGAAACATGGTTGTGCCATCCTCATGGCCATCCAAACTAACGCAGTGGACCCAGTTACCCTTATCGCAGGCCACCAACTATTTTCGATTTCATGTTTCAATGGTGGCTGCCGTGCTTATCTACTCGACGGTCCACAGACTCAGTTTTCCACGCCCGACATGCGATGCACACCTCGACTGCTTCGGGGCGCAGTTGCGGCCAGGAGGACCTCTCAGGCGCAGAGTCCCAGGTGTCGTACTCGTGGATGGCCTCCGCCCCGAGAAACCTGACGCAGACTGGACGGTGGGCTGCTGGACAGTCGCGTGGACGCCAAATGGCCTTGAATTGACATGAAAGAACAAAAACGATTCAGGTTAATCGGCAGGAATCCGAACTGGTACGAAAAAGGCAGGGTTCACAAAAAGAGATTCAGGTGCATCGGCAGGGATGCCTTTCGTAACCATGCGCATGATGCAGCTGAATACGAGAATGTGCACCCATATGAGACTTTTAGGTACATGAAAAAGTTGCGCGCACCCTGCCCAGAAGCCTTTCCAAATGCTACATCCCGGCAAGGATGATTTGATGTCTTCAAACATTTCCCTAAACAGAACTGAAAATTGACAGTACCAAAATATTATGTCTAACACAACTAGCTCCCAGCAAAGGGACCGGCGGAACCATGTGTAGATTTAGATGTTGGTGCATATCTTTTCGACCTTAAAATTGCAATGTCAAAAGAGGACCAGCATGCAAACATGTCATTAGGAGGCCCATAAGGAAGCACAAAGCAAAGCCCTGCAGATTTCGCCAAGGAAACCTGCGTGGCCAAACATAACCTTTGAGTCTTTGCCCTGAGAATGGACATCTGGAGAGGCTCGCAACATGATGATCAGTACTTTCAGCCAACTGCACGGCCTTGCTCACAGGGTGCCATCCCTTTGTTCAAGATTTGTATTGAGCCCGTGTCTTTCTTGCCTTTCCCCAGATAGCTGAAAGCTATAGGGGTTCTAGCTTGCAATCAAGAGGGGAAGGAGACTTGCGAGATTGACTGCTGGGTGCTGGGGGGCGTGCAGTTTGGCGTGCTGGCGCAGGTGCTGTTTGGGGGTGCTGTTTGGGGGTGCTGTGTGACGGCACGGACGCGTTTTTGCAAGATTGACTGCAGGGTGCTATGGGGCATGCAGTTTGGGCTGCTGTTTGAGGTACTGGCGGCAGTGCGGGCGCATTTGGGGAAATTGATGGCCAGGCACTGTTGGGCTGCCGTTTGGGGCGTCCTGGTGGTGGTGCTGCTAGAGGTGCTGGTGTGCAATCATCGGCCCGTTCTTCGCTATCTGTCTATGCTGGAGTAATCTGGATTTCCTCCCAAGTGCATGCAGTCTCAGCTGGACCACCCGAGTGCCGAGGATGCCTGGAGCGATTGAAGAATTTCCGAGAAAGGTGCGCCTTATGGAGTCATGAGCGCTGAGTATGGTATGGAAAACGCAAGGTTAGAGCAATCCGGGCACAGCATTGATACGACTCGTTCCTGGAACCTTGCAAGAACTGTGAAAAGACACCCATGCGAACTCCCGAACCAAAGAAAACCAACGAGCTTTCGCGCAATGCAAGCAGAAAGCGCCCCGTTTTTCTTTTTTTTGCCAGCGCAGTCCATGGAACCTACACTTCACCTAGCCCGCCGCCTTCCCAAAGGCTTCCTTTAAGGATTTCCCTCTTGCTGGCAGGTGGGTGCGGCGGGTCACTGGCGACTGGAAAAAATATGACCACGGAACAACCGGTCCTCGCGTATTACCAACATGCAGTCTGTTCTTGACACGCCAGAAGGCACAGCCTGGGATTCTGAGGACCTGGACAGGCACCCAATGGAAAAAGCAGGACACCGTGTCGTCCTAATGGCAAAGCCCTTCTACAGACACCTTTTTGTGAGCTTTTCCATAGTGCCAAATTCAGTTGGGTGTTTCTCGCAATAGGGATCCCTTAAAATGGGTGGTTTCCTTGGGTTTTCCTTTTAAAACAACCCTTAAAAGAGCACCATAAAAGACAAAAAAGAAAAAAAACACAACGACAAACCCGAAAACAACACCCCCAAACCAAAAAAACAGGAAGAACCCCAAAAAACACAACACCACATCTGGACCCCTGACCTGCGTTCCTTGCCTCGGCATCCACGGCGACGCCTGCGTCTGTGAGCACGCCGCGCTGCCCGCGCTGGCGGCCGGCGCGCTGGCGCCGGTCAGCAGTGCGGCCGCACCGTGCCTGATGCGACGTGCCTCATGAGCATGAGGTTTGGGGGGCTGGTTTTGTAATGGTTTGGCAAGTGCTGTTGAGGGCATCCCGCCAACGGCAAGTACATTTTTTCTCCCTTGAATGGGTAAATGGGTGCGGAAAGATTAAATCGCATAACCAGCTCCTTTCAGCTTCCGTTTCGGCAAAAACAAACAAAACATTCATGGGCTTCTCGGCATTCACACATCAGCAAGGAATCCTCCTGGTGTTTTTGATGGGGATGTTGAAACCATTGCTTCACCAACCTCTTTTTGGCGAAATCCTGAGGACTTGGACCAGGGCGGCTGTTTAAACCCGACTCTTCGCTCAGTCAGCTCGTTCACGGCAAAGTTGCCATGGGGACTGCGGCCGAGAGCTGCCAGTGGAGAAGTTAGCGCTGCCCGTGGGGGTCTGCAGGCGCTGCACTTGCGGCCATCCGTTGGTTCCGGTCCCGTAGGCGTACCCGGTCCCTTGCCTGAGAAACCGAAAGGATCACCCCCAAAACCGACCAGTCACCAGGTTCATGAAAGAACCTAAGGGTGGATATTTCCAAGGCATTCGAGACCATTTGAGGGGGACCCACTGCATTTGGGTGTGCATTGGTGTGAGCGAGCGAGCGTGTGCGCGAGCGCGTGCGCGAGTGCGTGCGCGAGTGCGCGCGCAAGTGCGCGCGCGAGTGCGCGCGCGTGGCGGGCGGGCGTGCGCGCGTGCAGGTGTGCGTGCGCGGTGCGCGCGCGGGTACGCGTGTGTGCGTGCGTGTGCGTGCGTGCGTGCGTGCGTGCGTGCGTGCGTGCGTGCGCGTGCGTGCGTGCGTGCGCGCGTGCGTGCGCGTGCGTGCGTGCGTGCGTGCGTGCGTGCGTGCGTGCGTGTGCGTGTGCGTGTGCGTGTGCGTGTGCGTGTGCGTGTGCGTGTGCGTGTGCGTGCGTGCGTGCGTGCGTGCGTGCGTGCGTGCGTGCGTGCGTGCGTGCGTGCGTGCGTGCGAGGGTGTGTGTGTGTGTGTGTGTGTGTGTGTGTGTGTGTGTGCGTGTGTGGTTGTGTGGTTGTGTGTTTGTGTGTGTGTGTGTGTGTGTGTGTGTGCGTGTGTGTGTGTGTGTGTCACGACTAGGACGCTCCTCTAGGACGGTCTTGAAAAGGAAGGTAATCATTCAATTCAAAAGGGTCCCTCATTACACAAACGGCTTGTGATGCTTCGGCAGGGCCAAGGTGGTTGGACAAAGTCGACAAAAGGCACTTGTTGGAAGTCGACAAGCCTAGGGGCCCACCCAAAATCCAAGAATTACCACAACCTGCAAGACCGATAGGAGCCCAACGCCGATACCCTGGTAATAAAACGCATGGCTCACATGTGCCAAGTGCATGCTGAGAGGCCAAGCGCCATGGGGGCTGGGGTCGGACGGAGCCTGCGACGCGGCTTGTTGCCACACAGCATCAGAGGCTGCCTGGGACATCATGTCCTGCTCGAACTGTTGGTCCGCGGGAAGCGGCATGTACCTCACCAGTTTTTTTAGTGACATCCTCAAACCGACCCATTTTGTGGTTTCATGGGCGGCAACGCCCAAAAGCCATTTGTTGAGGCCGCTGCAGTGCTCACTTTGATGGCCCTAAAAGGAGCTTTTTCAGGGTGGGTTGAAAGGGAAACACGGAGAGATTTGCCATCTGTGGCCCGCGCCGGTGGTTCAGCTTGGCGTCGCCCTTGCCCTCGTTCTTTCGCGACAGCTGACGGCCCTTCAGCTTCTTCAAGCACCAGCGGCCTGGGCTTGGGCTGCAGGAATGACCGGGCGCATTTGCGGAACCGACCTGCAAGGGGAAGCGCCTTTTGATCATTTGAGTTAAACCCCTGCTCTTGGAAGAACATGCTCTCGTCGGATTAAACCAGTGCTGAAACAACCTCCTTCTGGTGCCACGTTTTGAGACAACCATGCTTTAAATTACTGCTCAAACGACCTCCTGCCTTCACTGCCCAAACATGTTAACCTTGAGAAAACCTTCGCCAACAATCACCCAAAAAGAGGAATCCCCTCCAAATAAGGTGGGCTTTGAAGTGAGCTTCCTGCTCAAATGAAACCCAGTTGCTTGGTGAGACTGGGAGAAGGGAACCTGAAAAGGGGGGCGCCATTTCTAAGGAACGCCCCAAACAACAAGATAATGACAATTGCCACTAAACTGGGCACTACACAGGGGGTCCGGAAAAATAACAGAGCGTGGCACAAACTGGGAACAAATGCCCAGCCCGGCCTTTGCGCCAGACGCAAAAGGCGATCAGCAGCAGTGAAAGCAGCGCCAGAATTGTCCAGAACCACCAGCTGCTAAAGATGCTGCCTGCGTCCGAACCGGGAGGGCCGTCGGATACGTGATTTCTGCCGTAACGAGGTGACGTCACGAGGTGAAGCAATGTCATCCAAGGTGACTGAGGTGGACGGTAGATGCTGGAATGCATGCCCCAGCGAATGCGCGCGCGTTCCACAATAACAAGGTGAAGTACTCCAGGGAAGTTGTGTGGATCCCAACGGCTCAGACATCGGGTTCTCAAGACACCGGGTGTTCGGGATTCTCCCCCAGACCATTTTCGTGATCCTTTAAACATCAGGTGGGCTTTATGCATGTGTTGCTCAAATCCTTGCCAATCCCCTGGCAGCTTCCTTTTGGTTTCCTTTCTCTGAGTGCAATCCCCTGACAATAAGAGCTCGACTTCTTCTTCCTTGCTTCAAGTTTCGTATTCCCAAAACGTGCTTTGGCTTAGACAGTTTAAGGGGTTTGTAGCCATAAAGTGCTTTCGTCGCCAATGAACAATCTCTCACTTCCTGAGTGGATTGGCCAAAACAAGTCCAAACTTTTTGTTTACCCAACGGTCTGCTCAAAAAGTGACTAAAGTCACTGAAATCAAGAAGTGAGTGCTTTGGGCGTGTCTATTTTTGGTGAACTCCCCAAATGGGCGGGTTTCCTTGTGTTCCCTTCAAGAACCTAGCCAAAACGGGAACGAACTCCAAAAAACGGGCCATGACCTTCTCGAATTCGCAAGGCCCAAACCGTTCAGGCCTCCAGCTGCCTCCATCTCATCGGCCAAGGGCTCGTAGACTGAAGGCAAGTCCTATGGCCACCCGACCGCAACTTGTTCCATCCAAAAAATCGGTGAGCCCAATTCGACCTTAACTTTCACTGTGGTCTCCGTTGTTCACTTCGGATCCCCTTTCTTGCCTTTGCTTTAGCCAAAAAAAACAGGCAAGCCGGGTCGAATCAGAACACCACATTCCCCAAGAGCACTACGAGTCCACGGGCCTCTTCAACCCGTCTAGCCTTCGCCTTTGGTTCCCCGAGCTGATTGGGTCCAACCCCTGAGATCATTTTAGCTCGGAGAGGGGTACCCCTCCGACTGCAATGTGAGTATTGCCCCCCAAAAAGGGCGGGCAATCTTTGCAGCTTCCAAATTCTACAGTCCATGTACGAGCTTTTGAACATGGGGGTCAAACCAGCACACAAGATTGAAGGCATATGACACGATTCCTTTTATGTGGGTTAGTAAAGGTGATGACCAAAACAGCATGGGGAATTCTGCCATCTACTTTCACCAAACTGCACTGTTTGAACAGCAGCCTGCTGGTTCCACCTGTATCTATAGGGTCGTGGTTGTGGAAAACACACAGTTGCTGGCCCTATCAGAGAAAGTGCCAACCTAAAACCAACTTGGTTTTCCAGCATCATGACTTGGGTGTTCCATGGGCGTGTCCAAAATAGAGGATCCCTGAAATGAGTGTTCCTTGTGGTTCCCCGTTCAAGGGACCCGGAACGGGCACCCTTCGCCTCGAACCGCCCGCGAGGGTCCTGGCAAACCTTTGGCCCAGACAAGGCCCCGGTGAAGAAGATCGGCTTGGCGCTGGCCGGGTGAAGGCTGCAAATCTGGGCGTCCTTCATGTAGCTGAAGTAGGAACCTCCGAATCAACGAGTTGGGCGACTTTTTCCGATGCTGGAAAAAGAAGGGATCCGGGCCAACATGAGCCAGCTGCGACACTCCATGCTTGGTCTCCTTTTACGATTGCAAAGGGTGCCCTTCGCCTCAGAAAAGCGCAAAAACCGGAGAACCCGCCAGCAAAATCCGGGCAGCACTGGAGGTTCTTCTCGCACAAGTTCTGGCAGGCGCTCGGCGTCAAAGCGGAGCTTTCCTGGCACAGATCTGGAATGACCAAGGCCCGGGTCATGGCACGCTCTTTACAAGGAAATCCTAAATCAGCTGATCCTGATTTTGGAACTGGCCCAAATGTTTCCTATAGACCCGAAGGTGAGGCTTTAGCACCCGGTAACATTTAAGGACTCATGGCGCCCGCCCCATGAAATTTAAGATGCTTGGGAGTCGAACCTGCCATTCGTTGGTAACCCGGGTGGCAATCCGTTTGGCATGCTTTCGAGAGCAACCAACGACCAGTTCTACAAAACTGAGCGGGCCTGCCCTGGCAAAACATATGCCTTCTTCTTGTTCACTTCCATGCTGTTGAAAACAGGATGTGTACACAGAAATGAGCCGTAGAGAAGGCAATCTTAGTACAACCGGGAACCCGCTCATGTGCTTTTGCGCGAGGCTCGAAGTATGTCTGACATCCGTCCTTACAAAGACAAAGGCAAACAAAGGGACAAACAAGCAAGCAAACATGCAAACCAACAAAGCGAACAAGCAAACAGACAAACAAGCAAGCAAACCAACCAGCCAACCAAGCAAACAAACAAATAGACAAACAAGCAAACCAACCAATCAACCAACCAAACAAACAAACAAACAAACAGCTTAACAAGTAAACAAGCAAACCAACCAATCAACCAAACAAAAAAGCAAACACACACACAAACAAATGAAACAAGCAACAAAGTGAACCAAAGAAACAAACAAACAACCGACAAACAAGCAAACCAACCAACCAACCAACCAAGCAGACAAACAAGCAAACAAGCAAACAAGCAAACCAACCAACAAAACAAACAGACAAACAAGCAAGAAAACAAGCAAGCAACCAAGCAAACCAAACAAACAAACAAACAACCACACAAACAGACAACCAAACAAACAAGCAAGCAAACAAGCAAGCCAAGCAACCACGCGATTGCAGGATGCCCCTTGAAATATGTGTGCCTGCCACACGTTCCACTCAGGCAAGCCGTGACGAGAATCGCGGGTCGGTGCAAAGAGGAAAATAACCAGAAAGTGCCTTTTCAAGACCAAGTCCAAACCTGCATCAACATGACAAGACAACCTGCCTCAGGGCTCACTTTTGAGTTGATGGCGCCAGAATCCGCGTTCAATTGAAACCATGCCTGCCGCTGTTCAAAAGAGACCGCCAGCACAATCCAAGTCAAAAACACGCTCTGGTTCAAAACCACAGTGACACCTGGCAACATGACCCAAGTGAAAGCTAACTCTGAGGGTGGCATGTAGGGTGGCATGTGCAAACATAAGAGCCGCTTTTGCACGCACGTCATTTTCAGTGTCAACACCGGTGGTCGGAATCCACACCGCAACCTTGCTAAAACTCACCGCTGGGTCTGACATAGAGGGACTGGACAAAGCGCTCGAACGCCGAGTCCCTTTTGTTCCTTGTTCAAAACAACAGCACGGTATTCAGCACGCAGCAAGCCTTGAACTGAGAAGCCCTTATACCAAGCTCACAGTTGCCTAGCCCTAAAAGAACAATCCTTTTCGGTTGGTTGAGCAGTAGGCTCACCAAATGCGCCAAGCCATAGGCCCTTGACGCCTGAATGGATTTGGCCGATTTGCGGTGCTTCGTGCCCACTTCGCAGCCTCCAGCTGGGCGGTGAACTTGGTGCCAAGAACGAAGCACTGGGTCAGCGGCACCGCCGCCACTAAGACCTGCCTCGGTGAGAAAACGCGAGCGGGTGGATTTGGGCACCCCGTCCGGTGGCTCCGATTGTGCTGTCCTTTCACAGGTGCAACGGGTAGCCTGGGTACCCTAAGAAAGAACAAAAACTGTAGGGCTATCCAACCAAAGCGCCCTTTATGTCTGTTGAACTGAAAGGACTCCAACCTGGTGCCACCCAAATGGGGAGCTCACAAGGAGGGAAACGACCTCACTTTGATGTAGATCCCTGGGCCTAAGGTTTCTCAAAAGCCCCAGGCGAATGGGACAAATAGAGCCCGCTATCTAGCCACTATTTGCACCATGCCCTGGCTTGGGAGTTAAAAGCTCAAAGTGACACCCTCAAACTTGCCCTCTAACGAGTGCTGGTTTCCACCCCCAAGCAAAGGTTTGGGAAGCCCACTTTGGACAATCGAAACTTGGCAACGCTTCGCTAAGAGAAGACACCTCGGTGCGCTGGCTTCAGCATGGGAGCATTGGAATTGGGGATTGGCCAAGTGGGAATTTGGTTCATTTTCTAGAGCCAAGGAAGCGCACACATCCAACACACGTACGGGGCTGAGGAGGACATAGGAGAGAAAGGCAGCCACATTAGCCTGAAAAAGAGGTGTTCCACTTCACCTTTCGGTAAGGCCGAGTCGAAGCGGGCTTCCTTCAACCAAAGGGAACATGTGGGGAAACCTGACAAGCCCAGGCAAGCCCACCAACTGTTGGAAGTAAGTTGGATGAAAAGGGAACGACAGTGTCAAGTTGAGAGGGGAACCGGATCACTTGCTGCATCATCCGGGGGAAACTTTCTTGGCAAAGGACACCCTCTTTGAAACGAGCCTTCTACTCCCTGAACGGGCATTTACGGCTGGAATGGGAGAAGAACCGGCCGGAGGTTCCTCGATCCAAATGAACCCCCATTTGTGCAGCTGGCTTCGAGCTGGTTTCGAGGCGCATGGTCGCGTCGGGCGCGGTGGCATCGTCACGCAGCGCCTGAAGGCGATCTAAGGCTGCCAGCTTCGATGGCAGAATTCCTTGTTGGTGGATGAGTTTAGCGTACCACGGGAGAATTGTGCCACTGTCCGACCGCAGATGGTCAGACCCACTCAGGGAGCAAGTTGATTTGGCCTTCCCAAGCAGATAGAAGTCAATGAACTCAGGGAGTGAGACAAGTAGACTGGTTCAAGGGGCACCGCTGCAAGCTGTTGAAAGGCAAATGATGGTTTTCCTTTACAACCCCGAGAAAGCAGTACTCTCAAAAACAGGCACGCCCATTTCAGTGGGGTTCATCCATCCGGGGTCCGCCTGCAGCAGCTGGCGCTGGGCACCGCTCTCTGCGGCCAGCTTCTCCATGTCCTTCAGCTCCATACCCGCGGGCCTCGGGTGGGCTGGTTTTCGTCTGGGAAGTCCGGCCTTTGTCAGACGAGTTTTTGGCCTCAGGCAGGGTTTGTTATGATCTTCGGGGTGTTTTGGCTCTGGGTAGGGTTTGTTATGATTTTCGGGGTTCCCCTACAGTTTGAGCGGCACTCAGCGATGAGACCCTTGCTCTAGCATCGCCATTGAGACTGCCAGACATTGGCATCAACCGTTCCCACTAGCTGGACCAGGACACGCGCACATCTCCCAAAAGGGGATGGTAGGCCTTGGGTGGCCCTTTGCTCAAATGGCCGGACCTCTGGGCCGGGCTCAAGTCTGCCTGAAGGCAATGCCAATGCAGCCGCGCGCATGGCTACGTGCACGCCATGCCTGCTGTTACAGTATGTGTTGAGGCAGCAAAACACAGGTACATACATGTCCAATGTGTACAATTACCTATGAACCTATAGACATATACATACTACACGTTATATTCTGTACATGTGCACACTCTCATTTGCCTTGATTTCTCGTCATCCCGTTTTCTTTCTCTTTTTTTGGCAATCCGCCGCCCGTCACAGGAAAGGTAAATGCCTGCCTTGCTGGAAACAGAAACGAAGGGCTCGCGTTGTGCAACTTTCTTAGTGGGCGATTTATCATAGCCCTCAGTTCCCTGTGGCAGCAACAAGCTTAGAATTGGTTTGGATTGTAGGCATGAAGGGTGGAAAATGACAAAAATATGGGAATCCCCCCCCCTAAAATTTCATTTATAAAAGGGTGGTGATGCTTTATCCCATAGACGGCCCAAGACCTCGGGATGTTAAGAGAATATTCCTTTCCTCAGGGGCTCTACTTTTGGTCATGCTTTTGTTCAGTTCGGGCGCAGGATGTCCGTCAAATGTCGGGAGTTCATGCAGAAAGAAACACATCCGGCGGCGAGTTGCCCCAGCAGGATGCAACCAAACCTTTTGTGGAAGGAAGGCGAGCAAAGGGTGCTGAAATAATTACGGCTGAGGGCAGTTGACATTCACAGAAGAACCTTCGATGGCAGTGGCAGGTCATTGAAATTCCTGCATGGCTGGCTTTCCACTAGCCAGAAACAACAACAGAAAACAAGGCATTGCCAAACACATGGCTGAGTTAAATAGTTCAGTTTGCAGATTTTCCAATATCGTCCGCCATCAACTCGGCCCTCACCCCGATAAAAAGAACACACGTGACACAGAATCACCCCGCCAAACTTTCTTTCTGGGCCCAAGCCGCATATCCACGAATGAATCCATCACCACTTCGCCCCCGTTGTCCGCCTTCATGGACAGAGTGACTTGCCCCTCCGCGCCCATCATGTCACGGACATCCTCGCGTCTCGAAAGCCGCGGAGGCCTTCCCATTTGCCGGGGCATATTCTGGAGACGTGGCTGGCTGCTCATGATGAACAAAGAGCGCCTCGAACGGACATCAGCGCACCTGTTCACCCACAAAGGAAGCACGAGCCTATCTTTTTGCCCTTTTCAGCTTGCTTTGCAAGCTCATGCTGGGCTCTAGCCAAAAGAACTTGCAACTCAGCCTAGCTGCCAATCCGGACGCTGATTCCTGGTTCGGAAGGGCTAGCGCAGCCACTGACGAATATGGGCTGGGTCCATTTCATATCCTGAATACTGCCCTTGTGCCCAAGGACTCCTTTCAGCCCTCGGCCTCGCATGCCTTCGGTTAAATCATCACCCGGGCTTCAGCCTACCTTCTGAAACCTGGGAAGTGAGTATGACGTTTCGACTCTGGTCCAGAATGAACATTGCCCTCGTTCCAACAATGGAAGCTGACAGGAGGATTTTGGAAGACTGCACCCTTCTTGAAAAGCCCCGCTGAAACATGACTACGTTGGCATTTGAAATCCACTTGCCCAGTGATCCTGGAGTGGACGAAACAAACTTGGCATCCTTTTCTAACCCAAGCCTAGCTGGGATCAGGTCGATCCGCACGGAATCTGATTTCCTACCCAGTTTGTTCAATCCCTACTCCCGATCCGTGACTTGTGGGGCAAGACTCCTTGCTGAGAACGGCATCCATTTGGGATCTGCATGTGGAACAGTTGACCGCAAAGTGGCATCCATATTTAGTTGGGGTCTCTCACTGGGTCCCAAACAGCAATTTTGGGAACTCCACAACGCACAGCGTTCTTCGGCACCTGATCTTGAGCCGACTCGACTGCAAAACCCGGGGGTCATGCGCCGGGACGTGTGCAGCTTTTGCGAGCTCTATGGCCATTTCCACCTGGAGCACGTCCTTCTCCTGTGCCAACTTCGCCTCAGATCGGAACGGAAGCGGCCTGAAGCGGCCTCCTCGGACCCTGAGCGCAGCCCAGAAAGTCCCAAAGCAATGATGCTACTGCCATGGCCCCGAAAGGTGAAATGGGAGTTAGGGCTTTCACCCCTGGGCGCAAGCTCTTAAGCTGATCGGATGCACTCGCGGCCTATAAAAGCGCTTGTGGTTCACGACTTGGATCACCGAAAAGGAACAAACCTGACTTGTTGACAGAATTCCCTATGTTTCCCCTTTAAACATCACCACTAATACGACCCCCCCCCCCCAATGAATTGGCCAAACAGGTGATCCTTGAAACAAAGTACGAGCAACATATAAGGAAGCCTTGTTGATCAAGCGGCGAATAATGGAAACCAAAAGGCCAAATGAGGAAGACTGAATTGGGACCCAATGACTGGTGGGGTTGGACTTGCACAACTTGTGGCAGGCCATGCTCATCCTATTGGAAAATGCACGTGGCATTCTCCAGGCTCGGATCAAAGACATGCAGCCAAAAGCCACAGGAAAAACATCGGTGCCGCAGAAAACCACCTAGCCCAATCAAGGCCAGAAAAAGGGGATCTGCAAGAACTGGCGCTGACTTGCTCGGGTTGGTCCCCTGTGATCCCCTGTGGCACACCACGCGGGTCAAATAGAAGCATGGCCCCCCAAGGATTCAAAACGCCTCAAACACACTGCCCTCTACAAAAGGTCATGAAACGGCAGCTTCCATGCTTCTTCTGACTTCATTTGCCCTTACTGGAAATTACAAGCACTCAGTCAAACAGAGCTTCTAACTTAGGCTCCAGTTCCCATGCGTCCTGACGCGGACACTTGGAGTCCATCAGGTGAAACCGTAGTCCCTCCCCAGGCGCCTCTTGGCCGTTGACTTAATTGGGAAGCCCACAGACGGCTCGGGATGATTGGCCCAAATGAGATACGGAACTGCGCCAAATTGGCCTGTGTCCTTTCGGATTCCCCGGACTCACCAAATCGGGGGCTCACCTTTTGCTGGCGACCACGGTCTGACGGTCTGGGCCAGTGACAGCGCTCAGCTGCTGCAGGGTCAGCCGCACCTGCGCTACACACCGCACGGGGCCACTGATGGCCCCCTCGCTTGGGTGCCACAGCGCGTCGATCGCATAGAGCTTGCAGTTCCCGTCCTCACCAAAAAAATCTCCCCCTGCAAGTCGATGAAACTCAACGAAGTCCCCCATTTGTTTTGGGGTTCCTTGTCAATCTGAAGCGGGAGGTCCTTTGCAAGGATGCGGCTGATTCCCTTCAATATTGCTCAAGGGGAATGAGGGAAACAGGCCTTGACCCGGAGCTTGGCCAGTCCCGTTGGCTGTGAGTCGAAATGCGAGATGGCGCGTGACGCGAGGGACTCAGGAGTCCGAGCCGTGGATTTGCAAAATGCAAGCTCTGCGCTGCGGCCCAAGCGAAAATGAACAGAACTGAGCAAGAACCTATCACGAGCTGAGCTTTGCGATCCATCGTGCGAAGCCTTCAATGGATATCATCTGGAATATCCCGGGGTTGACGCGGAAAGCCTTCAGTTCTGAGCGAGAGGCCCTTCCTGGAACAACCGCAACAGTCACACGAGGAGGTGCTGTTGAAAATCGCATGCTCGATTCGCTGCGGTGCAATGCTAGCAAAGCATCTAAACGCAGGTTGCCTTTGAGCTGCGGGCCGCAGTGCGACAAAAACACGCTGTACATTCGAGAAACAAAAACACTAGATGGAGCCTCATCCTTTCGGTGGCTGCTATGACAGCAACAAGCAAGTCAGTAAAGTAGCATTCACGCACCGTGAGGAACCCCAAGTGAGCTTGGTTCAGCGAGCTGAAGTGGATCGCAACAAGCGTGGAGGCTTCGCAGTCAGCAAATGACTTGGCTACTGCCTCATGAACACCTGGGAAGGGCAAGTTGGCAAGCTTCCATGAAATACAAGCCTGAACAAACATGTGCGTCTGCACCTGCATGTGTGTGTGTGTGTCTGCATGTCTGCATGCTCGTACGCATGTATGCACGCTGGTACGGTGCGTACATGTGTGTGTGTAGGTATGAGGCATGTATGAGTGTGTGTATGTATGAGGCATGTATGCAGGCATGCAGGCATGCATGCATGCATGCACGCATGTAGGTAGGTAGGTATGTAGGCTAGGCAGGTATTGATGTGTCTATGTATCTATGTATGGTTGTACGGTTGACTGATCGGTTGATTGAGTGATTGATGGATGGATGAATGAATGAAAGCGTGGATGGGTTGATTGCATGCACATGTCCATGTTTCTTATGTATGGTTGTATGATTGTATGTTTGGTTGACTGATTGAGTGACTGACTGACTTATTGATGGATTGATGGATTGATGGAGTGATTGATGGATGGATTGCTGACTCACTGACTAACTGACTGACTGATCGATTGAATGCGGCGTGTGCACTCCGTGTGTGACCAGGCTTCTGGCGCCTTGTCCCATGGCAAAAACAACTTGACGGAACCAACCGTGCAAGGCCCGGGTGGGCATGTCGGTGGAGCACTTTTGGAAACCTGCCAGGTGTTGATTCCACCACGACCAAGCAAGTACTTTTTTGGGTGCTAGAGAACCCATCGTGCGCTGATTCCACCTCAACCAAAACCTTAGCGTTTACATACTGAACAGTTTTGCCTTTACATAGCTACTTGTACTTGCCGCGCACGCTTAGCTGATCCGTGGCCAACGCCAGAGCCCGCAAAGGATCAACCGTAGCCTTCAGTTTCGAACTCCGTCATGGCTCAGTTGAAGAGTCCTGGTGCCAGAAGGTGAAGTGAGCGCAGCCCGGCGTAGTTCGGCAACTCACCTGGAGATTGCCATGGGCTTGCCACAGCCAGACGGTGACTTTAGAACAGGCAAGTGAAACGGAAGCAAGGAACGTGTGAAAGCCCTTCTATTTTGCGTCTCGCTTACCCAAAGAGACTAGAACATTCATTTCAGCCTTGACTAAACATGGAAAAAGCGGAAACCAACGAAAAGGCTTTGGGCAATCGCGCCATGGTTTTGGCTACCGCAGGACATGGGGGCACCAGTTCAACATCCTCAATGGAGTTGGCACACGCCAATTACCCTTTGTGTCCTTGCAATGCTGCACCGTCCAACTTGGCGGCGTTCAGAAAACAGCAAGTGAGTGCCTCTGCGTGTCATCATGTGCGGCTATATCTGACGCTTGCTTTTTGTGACAGAGGGAGGGGGGCCAGAACTGGAAGTGCAGGGCACCAATTCCAATTTGGTGGCCTCCAGTTAGTCCCGGCTGAAACATGCCCTTCCCCAAGCTTCGCTGAAGCTGGTCGTGCATTTTTCGGCAGACATGGCCAAAAGCAAAGAAGCTCTCGCGCTTGAGGCCCGCAACATGTCCCAAGTTGCTTGTCACGGTCGAACCCCCAACTTGCTGGTACTCAGCGAAGACATGGAATGCCCTCCATAAACCATCCAACTGGTGGCTTCCTTTAAGGGGACCGTTGGGTTTGATTTGGTCATTCTTCTTTGCCCCAAAGGCAAAGACATAAGATGGTCCCACACGTTGCTCCAGTCGGACCAAAGGAATTCAAGGAGCCACGTGTGCATCAGGGATGCTTTGGGAGCGATGGATCCCAAACGATTTATCCCCAAGACGCGAATGAACTTGCCTGAGGTTTGGGGAACCTAGCCAAAACGCCGGCGAAATGCGGCTGTCCTTCAGAAATCTTGCCATACCTATTGATGGCTGCGCACATGCCCTACTTCTCGCAGGCAGCACGTAGTTCAGTGGATGGATTTCCGCCACTAAACCACAATAAGCAAGAAGGTAAAATGTTTCCCAACAACAACCATGACATGGCCTACTTCTCGCAGCAAAGGACAAGGCCCAAGCTTCCCGCGCCTGGCAAACCGTGAGGTTGGGCTGCGCCTGCGCGAGCCCGGTCTCCTCCCCACGGTAGCCGATGCCCTCGTAGAGGCACCGCGCCACGGGGCCTGGGGTGGGGTGGCGGGGGAGCGGTTCCCTTTCTTGGGACTGTACTTTGCTTTCAAAAGCGGGGAAGGAATCAGTTTAGAGATGGTCTGCATGGGCCATTCCCTCACCTGAGCGGAGGAAGACATGGCCGGGGGGCTTTGTGGGTGCCCAGTGGCCAGCCCCCGCTCAAAGCAATTCCATGTTCATTTGTAGGGGGAATACAAGTAATTTTCAAAATTGGTAACCCACAAAGCCGGGCCCCCCACGAAAAACCAGCGGTTTTGGCAAGTTGGATGCTTCACTTCAGGGTCTCCTTCCCTGCCTAGGGGTGTGAAAAAATAATTAGGGGACCAACATGCTAGTTCTCCTTTTTCGTTTCCCTTTCAGCCAGCCCCAAAAAGCGTGCCAACTGAAAACCACCCAAACGCCAACCGGTTGATGCCCGAGCCTTCAGGCATTGACACCTGCGCGCTGGGCTTGGTCATCGCCTCTCGCGAACCCGTGGGACGCCGAGGCGACAACGGGGCCTGAACCTTGGAGAGTTGAAACCAAGTGGCTTCAAGATGTGCGAACTTGACTTGGGGGACACACAATGCCGGAAATCGAATTTACAATCTTGAAAAAATCGGGGGATTAATATCATGCCGGACATTGAATTTACAATCTCGCAAAAAAAACATTTGCCAATGAACAATCATAGCCTGGTGGTTTGGGCGTCAGGAAACCATCTTCCTGCTTGGGTACATGCAACATGGCCTGTTTAGCCTCTCAAAACCAAACAAATACCCAATGGCTTCGGTTGCCCCTCACAAGTTAAGTTGTTTGCTGGCCGAGGAGGACACACCCAAGATTTACAAACTTTCATCCGTCCCAAGTGGCGCGAAGTGGATGTGCTCCATCCACAGTAGGGAAAGCCCCTCCCAGCGGTTTTGAACCAAACACTCGCAGCCCACCGGGTGTTTGGGTTCCAACAACCGCAGGCCCAACGTCCGGCCTCCTCCGCTCTCTGCGCCTCTGCTGCTTGCCCGCCCGGGGGCTTGTTCGCGTTTTCCGGGGCGCAGCTGAAGTAGATGCTCGCAAACCTCGGCTTGAAGGGTCAGAGGCTCAATCTTGGGAGAGGCCGCAGGGGCTTTGGGGTTTTGGCCCCAAAACCTCAAAACCCAACATATGTTAAGGAGGTAAGGAGAAGATCCCTTCCGCTTCGTGGAAAACCGACGGATGTGTTTGGTAGATTGTGACAACCAGGTCAACCAGGGCCATCTATTCTTTACCAAGACAGCCAAGAAGGACACCACTGGCCTAAACGGAGCTTGTCTCCATGGAAAACATCAACATTGGACCACTTCTGCCTCAACAAACTCAAGAAGGGAAGGCCTTTGAACATTCGGCGCAGAACCACCTAAAAAACACCCAGTGGATGGTTAATAGTATATATCTTGCAAACTGGTGACAAGGAAGACTCCAAGGACCCTCATCATGGCTGTGCGTGATTCCGCCGGGTGCCACTTGCCCATTCGAGCCATACTCCTATCAACAAGCATGGGCATGGGCATGTTTTTGGGCGCAAATGGGAAAGGAAGTGCGAAGTCCAACACCACGTATTGTGACCAAGCAAATGTTGTGCTACCCTGTCAATTAAAAGTCTAATGCTCAGGGTCTATCAATACCCCTTCCCAAAAGCTGCATTTTGATCACAGGCGCAAGAAAGGTTCCAAAAACCGACCTTGGCATCCTGTTTGGTGTCACCACGCAACATGATGCGGATTTACCATGGAGTTAACACTGTCATTCGTGGGTAATCCAGGTGGTTCGCCATTTGTCAACTTGGCCGAACATCCAAAGAGTGGCAGGGAAACAGCTCTTTGCTTTTGCCCAGCGGCTCTTTTTCCGACACCTCCCCGTCCCCGTCGGCATCCGCATACACGAAGGCTTCGTCTGCGGAAGCCTTGCCCATGCCCTCCTCGAGAAATCACCAAGTTTGAAACATCGAAACTTTAAAACCGTGTAACCAGCCAGTGTTTCACCACCTTCCAGCTTCCCTGGCCATTTTCTTCACCCAACCTTCAAACCATTTCTCCTTTCGCCTTCTCCTTTGGGCCCCAAGGGGCCGCCAAAAAACGACGAGTGGGTCGTGTTTTTTGGATGCGCTGGTCCCTCCTCGGGCTGGTAGTCGTTCCAAAAGCTGGCCTTCCACTTGGTGAAGTCCACCGGGGTGTTGAAGCCGAACTTCTCCCCGCTCAACCTGGGCGCAGCTTCTGGCGATTCCAGCCACTTTTGTCGGGCGATTTTTTGAATGTTGCAAGGCGAGACCTGTACCCGCCCAACAGAAACATGGCAGGTAGTGCAAGGACACCCCGGTTTGGAAGCCGTTCCTTTCTGAGACAAGTTCTGTGTGCCAAGCCATTGTGGGGATCAAAAACCACTCACCACCCACACGTCCCCTCGTTTTTCGTCCAGCCGCATCCCCCGTTTCGCCTCCCGTTTCGCCCCCGACTTTTTCTTGGGCGAAAGACGATTGGTAGGCCTCCTCGGAGGTGGGGTATTGCTTCCGGAGCGTCTCGCACCACCCGAACATGGAGAGGTAGGTGCTGGCCAGCCCGTAGGCCGTCCGAAACCTCAGGAAACAGACAACTGCAAAGGCGTCGCAAATCAGAGGTAGTCCTCTCCGCATTGATTTTCGCTGCGGAGCTTCTCCGAAACATCCGGAAGAAGGTTTCTTGCTTTGTGTACTACCTTTGTGCTCAGCACAGTTCCATATGTTGCTTCTGTGCATCTGCTTCTGTTAGGACTATGGTTGCGACGATTTACAGGAGGCTCGTATCCCGAAACACCCCCCCCCCCCCCCCGCCCAAGGTTTCGGTTCGGAAGAACGTGTTTTGCCAGCTTCGAATTGACCTTCTCTGCGGCGTCAGATTTTTGGGAAACTTTGAGGCTCAAGAGCGACTGCATGTCAACAGATCGACAGTCCGTGGTTTTCCAACGTGGAAGGTTCTTCCAACACGGAAAGGGCTCAACCACCCACAAAGTCCCAAGGAATCGCCTGGAGCCCTCCAGAACCCTCGTGAAATGCTGCAAATCAAGGGGCAGCGAAGTCCCCCTAAGTGGGACTTCCCGGTTCTAAACAAATGACCACGGCTTTTGGGCCTTGGGGAAAGCGTTGGCTCCGAAACAGGACGCCAGCAGTCGGATGGTTTCCCCGCGGTTCCAAGAAAATCACTGCCTCGCACGACCCGCTGCGAGGTTTTCCGGTCGAACTCCGAGACGCTCGAGCTTCTCCACGTAGCCGTTGGGGTCCGTCCCGCCTCCGGAGGGGTCTGCTCGGCAGGGGGGTGGGAGAAAGGGGGTGGGAGAAAGGGGGGCAAAGATGGTTTGGGTTTTGGCGGTTTAACAATTTTTGGTGGTTTGAGCTTGGAGATATGCCAAGTTTGAACAACTGCTCGCTCGTGAGCCTCTCTCCACCTTACCTGTGACATGGAGCACTTCCTCCCAAAACATATTTGCCATTGCCAGGTAGATAACACATCATGAAGCAGAATCAGAATACCTAGACAGCGGGTGGCAACCAAGTTGCAGTTTTGCCTGGGCCCCTGTACTCTTCCTCGCTTGCCTAGCAAGCGCAAATTAACGCGGAACCCCCCGAAAACATGTTTGTACAGAGACCCCTAGAAGAGGGGCCCCTTTTTGGGGTTGCGAAAGGGAATGACGCTTTCAGCATGGTGCCAACGATCATTCGCCACCCTGTCAAACCCTCGTGCAATCCTACAAAGCAGACGTGCGACTTTCAGAAAGCCGCCCAGAGCGCTATGCCCGCGTTGTTCACTTGACGGCTGTCGAAATGACTGGCCGAGTGAGGTCTGAGATGTCATCTTCTCGCCTGTTCTCGGCCCTAAGTCCCCGAACCAGGAACCTAGATGATGTGTTGATCCAGGGCCAAAGGGAGCGAGCGAACAGTGGCTACCAGTGACTCATAGTACGAGCATGGCGGTTTTAATTTACACATTGCTAGGGTCACAATCTTGTCACGGCTCTGACTCGATGAACGTTGGACATACTTCCCACAACCGCGGTTTGTTCCCCTTTTTGGGTTCTCCTTTCAAATCAGCCAGCCGGTGTTGCAACAAACATTGGACGTCATATGCTTGCATCTGTCTAAGCCACACCCTTCGCGTTGGCTGAACCTCTTGACTGAACCGATTGTAACAACGTGTTTTTGTTGTGGTTTCCTGTCTGACCAAACCGGCTGCTCAAGCATAGCGTGGCCGGGCGAAGGGCGCGCAGCAGAGCCAGCGAAAAACGGCACACAAGCTGCCAAACCCAGAAGCCAGCCATCCGGCTTAGATGTCGCAAGGAACGTAAGTGGATTGCTTGCGCGGCCAACAACACGGAGAAGGCAGCGGCGCTGCAACGGCCGCGCCGCCGGCCACCGCGCCGAGCAACTCGGAGCTCTGCTGCTGGGCCCTTCTCCGCCGAGCTCTTGACTTCGCCATGTTGTTTGTTGGCCATGCCCGTGATGCGCCGGTTGCTATGCTTTGCCCTGCTCTTGATCGCCCAGCGCCGGCGACGGAGAGCCACGCCATGCTGGCACGCCGGTGTATTTAAACCCACAGGGAAAGCCAACATGTCTGGACCCCTTTTCGAGCAGTGCCCAAAAACGCACTGGCTGGTTCTGGCTGGTTGGCTCCATGGTTACAAAGGTTGACCTTGGCCTGTCCTTTTTCCCCATAAAGCCAAAAACCACGCCTAGGGAGTCGATGAAGCGGAAGGCTTCGCGCCAGCCAGGGTGCACCAAAGAGGCCAAGGGCCAGTGGGCCCAGACCTCCCCGAACATGTAGAAGGGCACCTGACTTCCCGTTGCAGAAGATGAATCCGCCCCCCAAACCCCAACCCAGCGAATTACCATCGGAAAAAGGGCACCCCTTTTACATTGTTTCATTTTACAGGGGGAACCTCCCCGAAAATACAAAACAAAGCTGCCTCTGGCACTTTGCTTGAAAGACTGGGTGGATTATTCTGCTTATTGTTGTGGAAAAGGTTCACTGCGGGTTATGGTTTGTTGCTTGGACGAACGCATCGACCCGCCAGTAGGGGAAGTCGAGAACATGGTCACACCCAGCTCCTATTAGGAACCCAGCATTGTGAAAACGCAGATTAATAAGCGCGTGCCATTTAAGAGAGGATGGATCACTGTTGGGGAAGCGCCCCTCTATGAATCCACCAGGTTGATTATCCACACACCCCCTGCCCGGCGAACAGCACGGGTTCAAATAGGTAGCTTCAATGGGAATGCTGTCGTTCAAACTACTGTAAAATCGGGATAATATTTGACGAGCAAAGCACTGAGTCTGGAACAAACAGAACCAACCTAGCAGCTGATCCTGAGAACCTAGTTGTTCCATTGAATCACAAACACCAGCTCACATACCAAATCTTGATAACCGAGCTGCTTTCCAAATGGCTCAGATGAGCGATGTGGATTCAATGGCTTGAGTTTTGGCCTCGCTGAGATCAAAGCCGATCGGACACGGGGGCGCCTTTCCAGCTGGTATCTGGGACCACTTGGCACTCGGAAAAACAGCCCTGCAGCATGCACCACCTACGCACGCCAGCCCCCGGGAAAAAAAGGCAAATGCAGGCCCAATGCAAAGGCTGAATGCGTGAACCCAAGACCCATGTGAGCCAACCCGTGCCCGGGAAACCGGCCAAACGGCCAAACGGCCTGGTTTCAGTACAGAATTGGGCTCTCGGTTTCAGATCTGCTAAAAGTGACGAACTTTTCGTGGGCTAAATGGAAACCGCCACTACATCCAAAAGAAACCTAAGGAACTGCTTTCGAACTCGAAATCCAAGGTCGAAGTTGATCCTATCGTTTCTCCAAGTGCCTTCCTGACTCTTTACTGGGTTCTTCAAATGAGGGGGAGGCCGCTGATTGACTTAGGACCACGGTGGCTCGCGCCGGTGCGAGCGACACAAGCATTGCGAAAATAAGTTGCTTTCCCTTGGGCAAGCAGCGCACATGGCTCGAATCCAAGCCCATGGACCAACCGCTCAAAATGGGCACCTTCGAAATGGAGCTTGATCTCAGGGCTCTGTTTTTCAAAAAACCCCACTTAACTTCGACGGATCAATTGAATCCAGCGAGCATGTAGGGCCGTTGAAGGGATTATTTTCTACCAGCGGACCCTTCTTGCCACAAAGGGGAGCTCCTTCATTCTGGGTCCAAGCGGTTGGGCGACATATTTTTCCTCAGTTGTAGGGCCGGCTTTGCCATCTGTGAACAGCCCAGGCCTTCATTCAACATCGCTTGGCCACATTGCGGCTCATTGCTTTACCGGATGCACCCGCTCGCCCCTCGCTCGGGATCCTTCCCGAACCTTGCAAACCAAGAATAAACCCTAACGAACCATGCCTTTTCTGCTTTTGGGGGTGCCTTGTCGGATTCCATCTGCAACTGTTATGTGTAGAATACTTGCAAATATGGGGAATCCCATGGAAAGGACCTACATGGTAAGCTCGTTTGCTTTCATGGGAATCGGTATGCCGGGCTTCTGGCTGGCCCAGGAGTCAGGGGGATGACCCCTGACATGGTCTCGTCGCATAGCTTTTCCCAGGCCTAGAAGCACGCGCTCAAGAGCGGGAGGACGCGTGGCTCAGAAAAGGGTTGCGCCTGGGTTTCATGACAGTCCTGTTCTGCGATCAACGTGCGTGAAACCCCATGAAAAAAACCCATCATTCTAGAGGAATGCTGGGCTCCGCTGTAGCCCAGAGATTTCACCAGCAAGGTGGCAACCAAGAGATCCTTGAAAAACGAAAGGAACATGGGGTTGCCTACCTGATTCGCTCGAACCGAACAGTTGAAGCTCTTATTTGGGTTCCAGGAAGGCAACCAGTTCCCCAGTTCAAACGTTTTCACAAGATCGTCAAGGCTGGGCCGTTGGCCATCAGTTGGCATCTCGATGGACGGCCCGCAGAACATTCGGAGCACGGTCCAATTCCGAGAGTTGGATGAAGCCAAGTGGCATCTGGGTCCGTTTGCGGACCCGCAAAAAGAGACGAGCTTTCTGTGAAATGGGCACCCAACCGCTAAACCAACTCATAAGTTCACCTAAGGAGACCGGGACCGCAAAGGCATCTGAAAACTGCGTTGAAGATTCTCCTTTGCCGATGCCAGGAAGTTCTTTGGAGTCGACTTGCGAAGGATATCCCGGATCCAACGGTCCTCCCCCCGAATAAAAAACACCTGCTTCTTGGGAGCAGATCCTGCTAGTCACTTCTCATCAGTACATGCATCCTATCAATAGCATGTTTCCAACCCCAAATCTCCCAATACTAAATTAGAACCTTGCAATACTTAACCGGTTCGAAAGCAACAAAATCTCTGCCAACAGCAGGCACTTGTATTTCGCGGCAACTCACCACAAACCAACACAACAACCGCAGAACGAACTTACTCAAATGCCTTCCAAAAAGCATTCACATTTTGTTGGCTTCTGTACTTGGGTTGGAGGCATTGGGACAAGGATGGCACTTGGACAAGGCCCCGGTGTATCCATTGTTCGGGGAGCACAAATCATCTGAGTGGACCGAAATGGCAAAATGGACACCATGGGTCACCTTTTTGCAGTGGGTTTCGGCAAGGCACGTCATCTGCCGTTCGGTACGTGGACTGTACCCAAGAGCTCCTCGCACGCAGCGAGCTGCTAACGGGGGAAGGGGGGGGAACGCCCAGAACACCTCATGCTTTTCTAAAGAGCATTGAAAGTATGGGAGGGTCAGAGACCATAACAGGGGCAAACACCTCTGACTGGAGGCGGTGGAAGGGGATTGTGCACAAGTGCCTTGTTGGTCGTATCAAGGCAACAGGATGATAATTCAACCGGCCAACTGCCTAATGTCACAGACTGGATTTGCGTGCGGGATTCTGTGAGGAAAAAAGGCCTCCTGAAGTAAACTGGCAAACCGGTTTTGCTTAATCATCAGCTACCCCAGCTTCCAGGGACTTTCTGACACGCACAACGTTGCCTGACTCCTAATGTTCAATGCGATAGAAATTGTGTTCTTTAGTCTCTTTGTGCTTGTAGGCTTTAGGAACCGGAGTTTGAAGGCTCAATGATTTGGAGCCATCTGCCTGGAAAAAAGGGAGCGGGGTGGGGTGTCCGCACTTTTCGGTCGCTTATTAGAGGAAGGCGCAAAAGCATTGTCGGCAACATTTGATCAAGGGAGCTGTTCACACCTTTTGATGTTCGTTCCCTCTTTTGTGGTCGTGAAACGGTTTGCCTTGAATTGAAAGCAAACCAAGTTTTCATCACAATGCTTGCCCCAATTGCATATAGCTCGCGACTTGCTGAGTGAAGGCAAAGAAACACACAAAGGCCGCAACAAAATGACAACTACCACGCACTATCCAGCCGGCACCAATAGTCTAATGGATCTACATTGAGTGGCTGGGGCCCTGTATATTGTGTTCAAAACATTCTCGTTGTCCCCGCTTGAAACTACTGCAACTGCTTTGCCCTATCCACAGTGGATGCTTCACATACGGCTCTACAAGGCTCAAACTTCAAATCCCAGTGCAATTAGACATGTTCAACCAAACGGCCGGATCAACTGAGCTACAATGCATTGAGCCTTGCAATTCCGCCAGGCGGTGCAGCCAAATACAGAAACAATTCAGGTCCTGGCCAGTCAAATGCCTTCGACCCCTCTTTCCTGGTCGAAGGACACAAGCAGCAGGTACTCAAGTCTTGAGTGGGTTGGCCACTAAAGTCAGAACTTTTGTTTACCACTGCAATGGTCTTCCCAAAACGGATGAACTCACGGAGTGAGGGCTTGCGCAATGGCCCCCTGAAAGTATGGTTCCTCGACGTCCCAAGAGAATGAAGGGATCCATAGCTGGAGGCGAATCAAAGCAGCTGAAAAGGCTGAAACGAATAGACCCAATGATGTGCTCCTGGTTGGTAGATGTGCTGCCCCGAACTTGTGAGCCTTACTTATCCCACAGGCAGGAACTAGCAGGATCTTAGTGAATCATCAGAATGGGGCTGTGACGTAGTACAATCATGGGAGAAGACTGCCTACAAGTAGGGCTGGCGAAGCCGGTGGGCGGAAGAACCAAAATATATAAACTATAGATAATTTTTCTCTATCTTGTCTTGAACCTTGTTCTCTTGTTCTTCCTTTTCACTGTTTCTTTGTTTCTTCGTCATTCTTTCTTTTTTTTTCCTTCCTTCCGCCCGTCTTTCTTTCTTTCATTCTTTGTTTTCGCTCTTTCTTTTCTTTTTGTTGTTTCTTTCTATTGCTTCTCTCTCTTTGTCTATCTATCTATTTGTTTATCTATCTGTCTGTCTTTCTATCTATCTCTTTATCTAGCAGTTGTCTCTCTATCTCTCTTTTCATCTATCTATCTATCTATCTATCTATCTATCTATCTATCTATCTATCTTCTATCTCTCTGTCTCTCTCTTTTTATCTATCTATCTATCTATCTATCTATGTTTCTCCATCTATCTCTCGTTTCATCTATCTATCTATCTGTCTATCCATCTATCTTGCTCTCCCTCTCTCTCTCTCTCTCTCTCTCTCTCTCTCTCTCTCTCTCTCTCTCTCTCTCTTTCCTCTATCTATCTGTGTATCTATCTATCTATCTATCTATCTCGCTTGTTATCTACCTACCTATCTATCTGTCTATCCATCTATCTATCTCTCTCTCTATCTCTCTCGTTCTCTCTTTTCCTCTATCTATCTGTCTGTCTGTCCATCTATCTATTTATCTATCTCTCTATCTATCTACCTATTTATTTATGTATCTACCTATCTCTTTATCTAACACTTTCTCTATCTATCAATCTATTTATCTATCTCTGTATCTATCTATCTGTCTGTCTGTCTGCCTGCCTCTCTGTCTATCTCTCTCTCTCTCTCTCTCTTTCTTTCTCTCTCTCTCTCTCTATCTATCTATCTATCTATCTATCTATCTATCTATCTATCTATGTGTTTATCTATCTGTCTATCTATCTGTCTGTCTGCCTACCCATCTATCTATCTCTCTCTCTCTCTCTTTCTCTCTTTTCTTCTATCTATGTGTCTGTCTGTCTATCTATCTCTTTATCTATCTATCTATCCATCTATTTGTACCTAAACTTGCGAAAGTGCTGCGCCTGCCGCGAATTGTGTACTTGACCTTGTGAAAGTGCTGCGCCTGCCACGAAATCTGCGCCCGACCTTGCCAAAATGCTGCGCCTGCCACGCAACTCAAACCTTGCGAAACCTCTGCGTTGCTGCGCCAATTGGCCCGGCGCCGTTTGTGATCCGAGCCCGCTCCGAGACCGCTCCGACCAGACGCCGCGGACAGGCTAGCTTTCACATCTCCGGAGACGCCAATTCACGCACAGGGCCACGCTTTTTGCGACTTTCTCATCTCCGGAGATGCCAATTCACGCACAGGGCCACGCTTTTTGCGACTTTCTCATCTCCGGAGATGCCAATTCACGCACAGGGCCACGCTTTTTGCGACTTTCTCTTCCCCTGCCAAACGCGCGCACATTTTTCGCGCGCATTGTTTCTCGCGGGCGTATTCCTTCTCTTGTCATTTGTCTCAGAGAGCTAGATTTCAATTAGTTGCCGTAACGCGGAAATTCCTGCTAAACTTCCTTTAATTACTATATTGCATTACCACAGCTAGGGAAATCATGACATTGCTCTGAAGTCCCTGGTAGAATTTTGGCTGCCCTGCATACCAAAGGAAGCCTGCGAATCTTCTTATCCGTTTCAAGGCTACCTTTGTTCCCGGTCCAAAATGGGTATGCCGTCTCTTCAGGGTACCCATTTTGAGGTGAGTTTAGAGGGCAACGACCAGGGAACCGCCCATTTGGTGGGCCCACCATGAGACAGACCCACATCCCTGGAAGGGGAGCCCAAAAGCACACCGCTCCAGTTGAAGACCAGCTGTCGGGCAGCGAAGCGCGCAAAGTCGGCACATCCCTGGCAGACGCACGGTTGTCTACTAGGGCCTCTGCAACAAGGGGATTACCTGTCGTCGTGGTTTCTGCCCGGACACATATTGACAAGTGAAAGATAGATGAAAGGCGACTGGACATGCCTGGGCCAAACTAAAGCCATTGTCCGTCCGTCCTCTGGCGGCTTTCAAGCGCAAATGACAGTGACAAAAGGCCAGCCTTGGGGACGTCTGGCCTGGTGCAGCCATTGTAAGCTCCATAGGTGTAGCCTCGGATGCGTTGCAAGCCGTCACCCAAACCAACGGAGTCCACTCAAACAAAGCTCGCTCGCACGCACGCGCGCTTGATGGTACAAAGCAGCCGGATCAGTGGCCCGAGGAGAGCCATGGAAAACATGGCCTCTAGCAAGTCACTTGCTCAGACTGAAGCAAGGTTTAACAAACCAGTAGGCAGCAAACAAACATGGCAATGAGGCACTACCCTTTTGAGCCAGTTATTTTTCCCCCTAAGAAGATGTGGGAGATTTGGTGAATGTCCCTGTTAGCCATGGTCAAAATTGCTTGCTTCCCCTTAAGAGGCTGGGAAACATAGCGAGTCCAGGAGTTTTGCCGGGAAATGCAGTTGAGCCTCCCCATAGATCAGTAACTTTGACGTACCTCATATGGGGCAACCAGCCATTGACAGATGGTTCCACCAACATCGCTACAAACCGCCACAAGGCCAGGTAGGAACCGGACGACCTACTAAATTGCTGTGGCTCAAAATGCAGCTTGGGCTCACGCTTGTTTTAGCCTTTGTTCCCACATACCCAGGTGCCATTTTGGGTACGATTTTCTGAGCCAGAGCCAAATTGCCTCTTCCATTTGGCTAAGACCCCTGGGAAAAGAAAAGCCAGTAGTGATAAATGTGTTTAAACCCCAACAAGGGGTTTTTTGGTTGAAAAGAAACAAAAAACACAAAAACAATACTGAAGCACACGGAAGGCCTTCCTGGGACTCGGTGAAAAAGCTGGCGGGAAAGAGGGGGCGGCGGCCACGGGGCTGATGTTCACGAGCTGCCGCTTCTCAGCGCTGGTTGCGCCCTTGAAGAGCACGTCCAGCTCCTCGCTTTGGCTCAGAGGTGCTTCCTTTTGGTTGCTGTAACGGTTTCCCCTGCAAGTGAACCACTCTTTTGGGGGGTTTAGTTCGGAAAACCCGAAGCTGATTACAAAGTGATGTACAAAGGATGTACAAAGGAGCCCACAAAGGAAACACAGTCCTGCACCAGTTGGCAGGTGGTAGGTGTGGACAACCAAGTGGGCTGTTCAAAATGGGTCGTCCAATCCGATTTTCCAAAATCCCTAGAAAACGGATCGTGCGAGATTTGGAATGTCACGTACGGGCCCGGAATTGTCCCTCAACGACCCCTGCTCAAAGTTTTGACTTTTCGTGGGTCAAATGGAAGCCCCCACTAAGCCAACCAAACACAACGACAAACCTAAGGCGCGGATGTTCTTTGGTGCAACTCCCCCTCAGAGTATCTAACTAAGTTTACCTTTTAGTGGCCACTAAACCCCAAGGTCTGGAAAACAACCCAGGAATCGAAACCTAGCGCCCCGGCCTTCTGGGAGGTGCCCAGGTAGTCAAAGCCCACCTCCCAAACACCTCGCCATGGATTCCCCGTGATTCCTTCACCATGTCTCCGGTCCCACTAAGTGCTAGCTCGGTCTGCAAATCCAAAGGCGGCTTTGCTTTTAACTGGTTCATTTTGCTCGCTGGTGTTCCTCAAGGGATTTGCTGATTTCGGCATGGTGCCACCTGAGACCGTTTAGCCACAACCATCATTCCTTCTGAGCGCTGTCAGAAGGGCATGAAAAGGGGAAAAGGGGTTTGGGTGCCCTTTGATCGGTTTGCTTGCAACCACCCTTTCAGAAAACAAAAATATCAGACAAAAAACAACGTTGCCAACCTGCATGCAGCCAGCGTCGAACGCTTGTAAGCTATGTTCAAAGCACCCTGTGCGTACTGGTCATGGCTCCATGAGAAGAAATCCTTCCAAGGGTTGCCTTCAGTCATGAAGGCGTTGGCGACTATCCCTTGCAACCTCCAAGCAAACGGCCGACCAGGTGAGCCCCGCTTGGAAAGAGAACCCGCGCCTAGCCAGCGTTCAGTGGCCTGGGAGATGACTTGGCCTGGCAGGATGCAGCTTCGATTTCACAGGCGCCCGTGCCGAGATCTGCGATGGTTGCTGTGTGCAACAACTGACTAGTACGAATCGCCTGAAGCTGAAGCTGGCACATGTCGGCCAGTGGACAGCTGCAGCTCCGAACTTGCTCGCGGCTCCCAACCAACTTGGGGCTGTGTGATACTTCGGCACGGCATCCAATAGAGCAGCAAGCCAGGGAATCGCGGCGTAACACATGAAAATGCATGGCTGTCGGGCTGATGATGATGATGATGATGATGATGATGATGATGATGATGATGATGATGATGATGATGATGATGATGATGATGATGATGATGAAAAAACAAATCACGGTGGCGATATGGTGGTGGTGGCGGTGGATGATGACGTACTTGGAAGACGCAGAAAAGCAATCCTTGACAACGGGGGACATAACCTAGAACAAAGACACTTGCGTACTCACAAGAAGAAAAAGAGGAATGAGACGAAGAATGGTCAGCGCAAGCAGAAGCGAGCACAGGGCTTCGAAAAGAGCGGGGGTGGGGACATGAGAGGCGAGAATTCAAGTGGAGCGGGACGAGAGCACAAGGGAAGGGTAGGAAACTGGGGCAGAGAACAAAGAGAAGAGCAACGGGAAAATGGGAAGAGTGGGCATTCAGAAGAAAAGAGGCGCAGGTCGAAAAGGAGCAGCTCAAAGGAAAGCGGAATTGGGTCTGACAGAAGCGAGAGATGCCGGGTGGGAAGACTTGGTTGACGTCGGAAGGGGAGCAAACAATTCTCAAATTTTAGCAGTTCAGTGGATGGATTTCAGCCACTAAACCACAATAAGCAAAAATGCCAAAATGTTTCCCAACAAGAACCATGATTGGGTTCGCCATTTACAGACTCGAGAGACGCTCCTCGTGGGCTTAGAGTGGGCAAGCGAGACGCGAGACAAATATGTATATCATATGGTGGTTTTGGTTTCCCTTTCAAAGCATCAAAGCAAAGGGTGCCGTTCCTTCCCCCCAAAAAAGGCGGCACCTTGCAAACTGCACGCGGACGCCGGTGCAAGGTCCAAAGAAAGGCGTGGCCTGCATTCAAGGTGAGTGTGAGGCCACGCCAGGGCTCACTCTTGATGCCGTCCTTCAGCCAAGGGATCGCCTAGCCACATGCCGCGTGGCCGTGCAGGGTCCGTGCCGAAGTTTCAAGGGGAAATCGGAGGGTGTGGGTTTCTTTGGGTTGGTTTGGGAGATGTTTCGAGGGATCCAACCATTTCTCCACCAGAAGGGGTTCAACGCCTGCACCAATCCAAACCACCAAGGGTTACCCGGGGAAAATTCATGGGGGCGTGTCTCGAAACCTTCTTCGGACCAATCCAAAAGATGGACTTGAAGGGTTGAGCCAAAGGCAGCTCAACATTGGATTTGTGGCGGATACGTGAAGGCTTGCCGCTTGAAAAGGACACCCCCCTATGCAATGGGGGCTTATCAATCCTTGGTTTTCATTGGTGGCCTTGGTGGCGGCTCTATTAGTGACAGCGACGAGGGCATGCACACACACACACAACAAACAAACAGGCAAACGAACACGCAAATACGCAAACACAAACATGCAATACACACACAACCCACACAACACACACACACAACCCACACAACACACAAACAAGCCCAACAAAGCCAAACAGAAGCAATCAAAATACAAACGCATGTGACAAACGCACCTTTCCCGGAAGGTGAACTTCGCAAGCTTCAGTGCTTGAGTGTTTTGGGCTGAGCCCCCAGCCATCGCTTACGGATTGAGGCCTTAGTGACTGGATGGCCTTGGGGGAGGCCTGGGGATAGTTTCCATGACACAAAGGCAAACAATCAACTCGCCAACAAACTCACCAATCAATCAATCCCAAATGGAACCAAACAAAACCCTCACCCGCGCGCATATATATATATATATACACATATGTACAGATAGATTTCTACATCCCAACACGCACATACATATGCTCCAAAAAAACGCACACAACATCAAAGAACACAAAACGCTGCCAAACAGCACCCATCAGCACCCAAACAGGGGGTTTCCAACGGAACACCAAGGGCCGCGTGGCCGCACGAGGCTCGCCTTCTGGGTGTCGCGGGGGTCCTGGAAGGCAATCTCCATGGAGAAGTCCGCCTTCACCGAAATCTTCAGGTCCTCCGAAACCGAGGTTCAGCCACTCCCTGGGAACCCGGCAGCACGGGAACCTAAGAACCAGGGCTCGTCGTGTTTTGGAGCTGGGTCCGGTTGCTTTGGTGGTTTTGAAGGGGAACCAAAAAGACAACCGAAATCCATTTTGGGGGTCTAACCTTACAAACTCACCCATATGAGGAATCTCCCTTTGAGAACCCCATGTGACCCATTACATAAAAATCATCAATCACCACTTACACGGACACTTGTAATTTGATTTTGAACCATATTAGATGAAATAATGTTAGTTTTTCATACATTATATGTTTTCAACAATTAAGCAAGGCTACAGGTGCGGTGCATGGAAAAGTGTACTGATTAATCCCTGATAATCTCTGGCAAGTATGGTTGCTGTTTGTAAGGATGCTACAGCCGTTGGATTAGCTGCTGGCTCGCACATTCTGTTAAACTTCACGCTTTCAGAACAATCAAGTTGCGACCAAACACGTTTATTGTTACGAACAATCGTGACAACAGTTTCCACAGGGCCCGGCCTATCTGCCCAATTTTCTCAAGACTGGGAAAACGACAAATGCTTCATATCCATTTTTTTCTTCTTATGCCCTTTTTGGATCATATCCGAACGGCGACCGTTTGCGCCCTCTTTCAATCATTGTATCCTTACTGACACGGCAAAAAACCCTGTAGCTTGGCTCCAAAACCCATGGCCCAACCGCGCGTAGTTCCCCTCTTGACATGGAGCCGCCTTGCGTCGGAAGGCTTTAAGCCGGGCACAGCCGCTGGGGCGAATGTAAAAAAAACGGGGTGCTGAACCTTTGAGAGAAAGCGCGGCATAGAGAACCTTAGTTCAATCATGGCGACCCTCGGTTTCAGGGGGACGCCCTTTAGGTTGTCCAAACAGAGTCAATTCTGGCGAGGACACCCTTTAGTTGTGAAAGAATGCATTCAATCATGGTGGCGACTCCGCTAAGGCAAACTGTGGCGGCTCCTCAAACGGGAAGGGACACCAGATCTAAATGGACTCAACGATGCACGGTGACTCCTGCACTCCGGTGGGTACCCGGATGATGGCCTGCTCATCCCGGCTGATTGGTGCAAAAGCCACCCCTGGCCAGCGATGGTCGGTGAAGCTTTGGCTATGGACCCCCCAAAAGGAAAGGGGTGGGGTACTTGGATGCTGGGGCAAGTTACAAAGTGGTTGGCCACCTGTATGATCCAATGATAACAGGGTTACTTCAATTAGAGAGCCTTACAAGTGGGTTAACTCCGGGATGCCAAAAGCTAACTTGGCACCCAAGCGAAGAACGAGGGAGCAAGCCGTAAGTACACACACACACACACTGCGCGGTTTGGATTGGGGCCCAGTTCAGCCCCAAGTTGGTACGTCCCGCATCTCCAAGAGTCTCCAACATTCTCCCGATCCCTGCCTTTCCCAAGCTGAATAGTGTGGCTTTTGTGTTTCCTTTGCTTCCTTGCTTCCTTGCTTCCTTGCTTCCTTGCTTCCTTGCTTCCTTCCTTCCTTGCTTCCTTGCTTGCTTCCTTGCTTCCTTCCTTCCTTCCTTCCTTCCTTCCTTGCTTCCTTGCTTGCTTCCTTGCTTCCTTGCTTCCTTGCTTCCTTGCTTCCTTTCTTGCTTCCTTGCTTCCTTGCTTCCTTGCTTCCTTGCTTCCTTGCTTCCTTGCTTCCTTGCTTCCTTGCTTCCTTGCTTCCTTCCTTCCTTGCTTCCTTGCTTCCTTGCTTCCTTGCTTCCTTGCTTCCTTGCTTCCTTCTTCCTTGCTTCCTTGCTTGCCTTGCTTCCTTGCTTCCTTGCTTCCTTGCTTCCTTGCTTCCTTGCTTCCTTGCTTGCCTTGCTTCCTTGCTTCCTTGCTTCCTTGCTTCCTTGCTTCCTTGCTTCCTTGCTTCCTTGCTTCCTTGCTTCCTTGCTTCCTTGCTTCCTTGCTTCCTTGCTTCCTTGCTTCCTTGCTTCCTTGCTTCCTTGCTTCCTTGCTTGCTTGCTTCCTTGCTTCCTTGCTTCTTGCTTCCTTGCTTCCTTGCTTCCTTCTTGCTTCCTTGCTTCCTTGCTTCTTCCTTGCTTCCTTGCTTCCTTGCTTCCTTGCTTCCTTGCTTCCTTGCTTCCTTGCTTCCTTGCTTCCTTGCTTCCTTGCTTCCTTGCTTCCTTGCTTCCTTGCTTCCTTGCTTCCTTGCTTCCTTGCTTCCTTGCTTCCTTGCTTCCTTGCTTCCTTGCTTCCTTGCTTCCTTGCTTCCTTGCTTCCTTGCTTCCTTCTTCCTTCCCTTCCTTCCTTCCTTCCTTCCTTCCTTCCTTCCTTCCTTCCTTCCTTCCTTCCTTCCTTCCTTCCTTCCTTCCTTCCTTCCTTTCTTTCCTTCCTTCTTTATTTCTTTCTTTCTCGCTCTTTATGTTTGAGACCTTCACTCCGGCGGAGCGGAGCGGTGCCACCAACAAGCCCATGCACGCCTTGACAGGCCCTTGGCATGCGCGCGCCGCTGTCTGAGATGCAAGGATCCTCTTCTAAGGGAGCCTGTGCACTGCTGAGTTGCATGGCGCGAAGATGCAAACCAAGGCCTAGTTTGCGGGCCCACCAGGCTGCCGTGAAGCCTCGAATCGCACATGCCAACGCACATCCGCACGCCCTATGAAACTCTGAAGGGATTTCTCAAGGGTATCGCAGAAAGTAACTTACCTGAGGAAACCTCTGGCTGGTTGGTTGGCCGTCTCCGCGCCTGTCTTTGTGTCACAAGGAAAGAGCACCGTGACGTTGCGGAAGTAGCCCTTTGGGCACACGCCCGACGCCTCAGGCCGCGGAGCCGGGGAGGAGGAGGGGGGTGGTTCAAAATAGGGGCCCTTTTTGCTGCTACCTTCAACAAGGCTCGAAAAAGAGTCCATATTTTTTGCACCCCCCCGCCAATGCGAAGGGAGTCGGGGAATGCGCGCCCAGGCAAAGTGCCAATAACTTCTCGTGAAGTGTGCATTTGGAAGAAGTACAGTGGCTCAGGCAATTTCAATGGCGGCCTCTTTGGACCACTCTATTGTGGAAGCTGGCCGGCATTTGCATAATCACTTCACGTACGTTTTGAGGGCTTCAAAGCTAAAGAGACGCCGGTCCCATCTTGGAATATCTTGGGGGTTGGCCTATTTGGGGCCAACCCGTTTTAGACGTGCCCTGTGCACTCTCCATCTCCCGTCGAGGGGCGGTATGTGGCCTGCCTTTGGGTGATTTTTTGAGCTAAGCGGTCAAGCCAAGTACAGACGGTCTGACCGGTGCTTGGCCAAAACGCTTTGCCCCAGATTCGTGGCCCGGGTGAACTAATGGGACCGATGACCACGGTTCGACACGCCCTGGCGCGCGAAACCGAGTGCAGGCTGGGCCAACCACCTTCTTAACCAAGGACTGCTTAGTTTCCCTTGAAAAGGGGCCAGCTGCTGTACACCTACCGGAGTGACAAAAGGAGAAGCCAAATTGAGAACAAACAGGGCCACCAAACAAGAAGAAAGAGGTCTAAAGCGCCGGGTTTTTGTTTCAACATATCTTTTCCCTCCAATGTGTTTCAACCCCCGGGCGAAACGGATTCGACTAGACTTCCTTGCAATCCGCGCCTCTTGTTCCCGGCAACCCTGGTGAGGCCGCGGCAATGGGCGCATCCGCAAGTGCGCGGAGGAAGCTTGCCAGCGCGAGAGCGAGGGCGAGCGCCATGGCTGCGCATGGCGCGGCGTTTTCAAACCTAGGTCCTCCAGATTTGAAAGGTTAGAATAAGGGTACCTTTTTTCTCTTCTCTTTTTTCTGTAGTCCATTTCAGTAGGGGAACCCTCCCCCAAAAAAGAGTAAAAGGGCACTACTGGGGAACCTAGAAACCTAAACAAATCACGCCCCGGTGCAAAACACCTTTAGCCAAGGCCAAAACATAATTCGAAGACAACTTCCGGGGCAGAAAGCGAGGTTTGCAGACCTGGCAAAAATACCTCCGGAAAACGCCGAAGCTGGCAATGGGCGCACTACGGCCACAGGGGCCCTGCTGAAAATTGACTGTTAGGGCGCCATGTCCGATCCTAGTCGACATGCGGAAAGGACAGCTCAAATGCGAGTCCCTTGCCGTCCCTCCCGCACTTCCGTCTGAGTGCACCTGGGGAAACGATTCATGCTTCCGGCAACTTGGTGCGCCTACGGCTGTGCTGCTGTGCTGCCCCTGGCTACGCTGAAAGCCGCGGGCATGAAATGGCCATGGGTCAAAAGCCCGGACCCCCAGTGAACATCCCAATCCAACCACTAAAATAGGGTCGAAAATGGGTGCTCCAAACTGGGATCCCATTGGTTTTGACCCACTGCCAAATAAAACAAACAACTCACCACGCGCCAAGCCAGGCCATCTGCCACATGCCCCGCTTGCCACCTGGCCGCAATTAACTCACGAGCGCCGCAACCATCGACCATCAACATCAACAACATCAGCACCATCACTTTCAAGATCATCACCATGACCAGCATCACTCACACAATCCCTTAGCACCATCATCATCACCATCATCACCATGACCAGCATCAATCACATCATCCGCCAGCATCATCATCATCATCATCATCATCATCACCATGACCAGCATCACTCACATAACCATCATCCTCATCATCATCATCATCATCATTATCATCATCATCATCATCATCACCATGACCAGCATCAATCACATAATCCGTTAGCATCATCATCCTCATCCTCATCATCATCATGACCAGCATCAATCACATCACCCGCCTGCATCATCATCATCCTCATCCTCATCCTCATCATCATCATCATCATCATGACCAGCATCAATTACACAATCCGCCAGCATCATCATCATCATCATCATCATCATCACCATGACCAGCATCACTCACACAATCCCTTAGCACCATCATCATCACCATCATCACCATGACCAGAATCAATCACATAATCCGCCAGCATCATCATCATCAGCATCATCATCATCATGACCAGCATCAATCACATCACCCGCCTGCATCATCATCATCATCATCCTCATCATCATCATCATCATCATCATCATCATCATCATCATCATCATCATCATCATCATCATTATCACCATCATTACCATGACCAGCATCAATCACATCATCCGCCAGCATGATCATCATCATCATCATTACCATGAACAGCATCAATCACATAATCCGCCAGATTCATCATCATCATCCCCAGCATCAATCACATCATCCGCCAGCATAATGATCATCATCAGCATCATCATGACCATACCCAGCATCAATCTCTCTCTCTCCCTCTCTTTCTCTCTTTGCGCGCGTGTCTCTCTCTCTCCCCTTCCCCCTCTCCCTCTCCCTCTATCTCTCTCTCTCTCTCTTTTTCTGTCTCTCTCTTTGCGCGCGTGTCTCTCTCTCTCTCTCTCCCCTCTCCCCTCTCTCTCTCTCTCACATAATCCGCCAGCATCATCAGCATCAGCATCATCATCATCATCATCATTACCATGACCAGAATCAATCACATAATCCGCCAGCATCATCATCATCATCATCATCATCATGACCAGCATCAATCACATCATCCGCCAGCATCATCATCATCATCATGATTAGGATGAATCACATAATCCGCCATCATCATCATCATCATCATCATCACCATGAATAGCATCAATTACACAATCCGCCAGCATCATCATCATCATCATGACCAGCATCAATTACATAATCCATCAGCATCATCATCATCATCAACATCATCATCACCATGACCAGCATCAATCACATCATCCGCCAGCATCATCATCATCATCATGACCAGCATCAATTACACAATCCGCCAGCATCATCATCATCATCATCATCATCATCACCATGACCAGCATCACTCACACAATCCCTTAGCACCATCATCATCACCATCATCACCATGACCAGCATCAATCACATCATCCGCCAGCATCATCATCATCATCATCACCATGACCAGCATCACTCACATAACCATCATCCTCATCATCATCATCATCATCATCACCATGACCAGCATCAATCACATAATCCGTTAGCATCATCATCATCATCACCATGAGCAGCATCAATCACATAATCCGCCATCATCATCATCATTATCATCATCATGATCATCATCATTATCATCATCACCATGAATAGCATCAATCACATAATCCGCCAGCATCATCATCACCATCATCAGCATGACCAGCATCAATCACATAATCCGCCAGCATCATCATCAGCGTCATCATCATCATCACCATGACCAGCATCACTCACAGAATCCCTTAGCGCCATCATCATCACCATCATCACCATGACCAGCATCAATCACATAATCCGCCAGCATCATCAGCATCATCATCAGCATCATCATCAGCATCATCATCACCATGACCAGCATCAATCACATAATCCGCCAGCATCATCATCACCATCATCACCATGACCAGCATCAATCACATAATCCGCCAGCATCATCATCAGCGTCATCATCATCATCACCATGACCAGCATCACTCACAGAATTTGTTAGCACCATCATCATCACCATCATCACCATGACCAGCATCAATCACATAATCCGCCAGCATCATCAGCATCATCATCAGCATCATCATCACCATGACCAGCATCAATCACATAATCCGCCATCATCATCATCATCATCATCATGATTAGGATGAATCACATAATCCGCCAGCATCATCATCATCATCATCAGCAGCATCATCACCATGACCAGCATCACTCACACAATCCCTTAGCACCATCATCATCACCATCATCACCATGACCAGCATCAATCACATCATCCGCCAGCATCATCATCATCATCATTATCATTATCATCATCATGCCACCGCACGCGTCAACCTTAGTTGCTGACTATCCGGATTGCCCTACTTCTCCTCTGTAGTCCTACAGAAAGGCTTCATGACTACAGAAAGGCTTCATGAACTGGCCCAGTCAAGCGACATCCTCAGTTGTTTCCGCTCGCAAATACCCTGGGAAAACGAAACAGAATCATTGGATGATCAGTCACATGCACAAGCCTCTCTTTCCGGGGACACCAACCGCAACTTTGAATTTCGGATCAATTTGGAGAACCCTACTCAGGGCTGGCTGCCTTTTGCGGAGAAGATTCCTCAGATTCGCATGCATGGTCGTCAAAACTGCACCCCTACAAACATGGAAGTGCACAGGAACCTTTCCGAAAGGAAAGCAGTCTTTCAAACGAGGCCTGCGCAATCCTATATGTCTGTGGGAGGATAAGCGATCCACTGGGGCATCATCCTACAAGAGAGGGAGACAGGAAGCGTCCTTACACGACCAGAACACCTTTATGATTTCAACGTGAACTTCTACACCCTCCAAAACATCAACTCAAGCATCCAACCCTGGAATCAAACCCTGGAATCAAACCCTGGAATCAAACCCTTGCCCTCAACAAAAAGAAGGTTTTTCCTCTGTATCCCATCCCTTCTCCTCCCTTCTCTCCTCCCCTCCCCCTACATCCGCCAATCAAGCGCCCTCTTCCCCTCGCGTCATCCGGGCGAGAAAATGTCCATCTCAAGCTTGAAACTTGGCCTTGCAGAGCTGGAGTTCCTGCACGAAACGGCGCCAAGGAAACCTCGAATCGAGCCGAAAGAATGGTAAGGAGACCCAACCAATCAGGAGCGGAGAGGAAGGGACCGGACCACTGGATGCTTGCTTCCTCTTGGGTTCGAGAAACCATCCATGGAACACGACACGGTGAAATCGCCCTAAGTGCGAGCTTGACGAGCATCTGGGGTTTGGTTTCTTTGCGCATGGGACACCAAGGAACACTCAGCAGAAGTTGCAAACTTTCGGGTCAGGTCCTTCTGTTGCGATGGTGGTTGCGAACCAGCCAAAGTCTCAAGGTCTGAAGGTGGATCGTCGGAATCCAGTAGCCAAGGATCAGTTCCGCACCTGTTTCATTGCATGGTGAAACAGATTGGTGAAGGGATAGACTATAGAAAAGCTTGCCAAGAATCCAGAGGCAAGCAATGATCAAGAGAAAGGGAGAGAGTGAAAGGAACGGACAGGAGTTAACCCTCATCCCTCGCCTGGCGGTTAACCTTTTCGTACACCATCAATCTCAGAGATGAACGCTACTAACAGAAAGGACTTGACCATATGCTGGCTAGTGAAGGAATGCCAGCCACATCTTAGGAATTATGATTTACGGCCATCCAAGTCTCTGATGTAGGATTTGGTCAGGAAAGGATCCAGAAAGTGATGGATACGAGAGACCTGGGAACCTTTCAGTACTTGGATGCTCGTTGCCAGGTACGCGGTTAGCCACCTTAGAAAGCCCTCCAACGACAGGGTTAACCCCGCTGAACGGGGGATTTAAGGTGGGTGAAACCCAGGTTGAGAACTTACTAACTTGGCAACGAACAAGTTCGGTCGTTGAGGAAGGTGTTGACAGGTTGGAAGGAAATTCACCAGGTAGCCCCCAGGCGGGGGCTTCCGAACCGACCCCAAAGTCTCCCGCCTGCGCGACTTGAGGCCTCAAGGGCGCGCGCGCGCGCGCGCGCGCGCGCCGTTGAAATCGGCATGCCAAACCCCAAAACGCCCGTTGAAGGCTTCGGATCGAAGCTTTGTGCCAGGAGCAAACAAAAAAAAAAAAACAAACACCTGCAGGGCGTGCAAGTTTTCGGGCATCCTGTGGCCTCAATCCTCCCGATGTTCCGTCGCATGTCGCTGGTTGGAAGGGTTCAAGTTGATGCTCGCTACTCCCCCGTCGGAGCTTTAAGAGATGGACATGCTAGACAAGGGGCTTGAGCCGCTCTGGTAAAGTCGTCTTAGATTTGGAAATTCGAGATTCGAAACATTTGGTGCCCAAGAACAAGCAGAGCACATTCGGACCTAGGCCGAAGTATGCCGAAGTAAACCGCTAATCTAGCTGTGAATGTATGCATTGGCCAAAAACCGAAATGGGGCGGTGCTTTCGTGTTTGAGAGAAAGGGGTAGTGCACGTGCAATGAAAATGACGCCTGGCTTTGTGAAGAAGATGCCTGAAGCCCTTAATGACGAAATGACTTGGTCTTTTTGTAGGGGGCTTGGTTGAGTCGCCTTCGCTATTTCGTGCAGGGTCCGCTTGGCGTGGAAGCATTGCCCTTGAATTCAAAAGGGACAGGATGTTAGGCCAACTGGACTTGATGACGGACACAGCGGTTCGTGCCGAACTGAATGGGCGAAACCACTAACAAGGGTCTACATTGAAACGGGCCTAGGGGTTGGGCTTCACGTTGCTGGAACCAACAAATCAAAATCTTTGGCCCGTAAGCCATGCGACCCAAACATATCCCATTCAACAACCGCAAGGGTCGCCCTTTAAGGATCTGAAGGAAACTTATACTGGGTTCCCTGCGCACATTTCCCCCTCCCATTTCCTCATGCACTGCAAGGAAGCTTCGAGATCAAGGTGTGCAACAAGACTCAAAACCAAACACTCAAGTGGCTTTGTGCCGCAGGACCAAATCCGGGAACATTGCCTTTTCTTCGCTGTCCCTGCTAAAAGTTTAACTTTTAGTGTGTTGAATGGAGCCCCCCAAGCGAAAAGCAGCAACCGGACCCGGACGATTCGCTGGGAGGCCCCGGCACCAGCTCCAGCGCTTCCAGCGCAGAGCGCGACGTCAACTTGGACAGCGCCGCCTCGGCGCCATCGGCTTGGAAAGCACCGATGGGCTTTTGGCCGGGTTTCGTGTTGGAAACGGTGTTTTTTTTTGGTTCAGAACCATACTTGGTTGACGTTGGAAGAGGAGCAAAAGATTAAAATTTTAGCAGTTAAGTGGTTGGATTTCCCACTGAACCACAATAAGCAAAATGTAACATGTTTCCCAACAACAACCATGCATGGCCAGTTGCAGCCTCACCCGGCTCTCCTGGGGATGCTTGGCGAGGTTACTCCTCCGAACGAAGAATCATTCCCATCGTGAAGCCCAATGGGCAGTATGACAAGCTTCCCAAAGATGTCATGTTTCGGCACATGCTGCAACACAAGATGTATGTGGGCCAGAAAGACGAACGGTTTGCCCTCTTAGAGCTGTATAATAGTAACAATAATAATAATAATTCCCCGACAGCTGAAAGCTTTGGGGTCTCAGCCCCTAGATAGGCTCCGGGGTGGTCCGGGGCGGCCCTGAGGTAAGGTTCTGCGAGGGCTGCGGGGTGGTGCGAGCAGAAAAAAATACACCGCATGCTGGTGGGAAATCACCTGTGCTTTTAACATTTTTTTAGTGTGGCAGGTGCGGCTTGGTCAATTTTCTCTTTGTTTAAAGTAATGATGTTGCTGAAACTTGGTGTGATCGTCGGGGTGCTATGCCGAACCGTTTCTACGACTTGCGTTGCAAGCTTCTGGTTTCTCCTCTCATTTCGAGACACGCACTTTGAGCGGGCCACCTGGCTGAACATCCCCACTCGGAAGATATAAACATGGGCGCCCTGTTCACTGCTCAGCCATACGGAACGTGTATCCCAGCCTGGATAGTAGGAAAAAAGCACCCTTTGGGATTGACTACTTTACAGATAACTCACCAACGAAAGAAAAAACAAAAACAAAAACAAAAACGCACCAAAACGTTGGGTGCCAGTCCTGGGCTGGGTCTGTGGGGGCGTAGTCTGAGGTGAGGGCGGAGGTCTTCTTCTTCGCCTCCTGTGACGAGACGAGTCGTCCCCTTTCAAACTGGCTGCCCCTAACCGCCCCCCCCCAACACAAAACACACGCACAGAAACACACTCACACTCGCACACACACAAACCTTGCAGGCGAAATGCGAAACGTGGCTCCTCTGGCAAGTCGGACTGCCAGCACGACACCGGCAGCAACGACTCTTCGAGCTCGGACACCTGGCCCGATGGCACGGTTGTTCTGTTCTTTTTTTGCAACCAGCCCCCCACACAGAGAACACCTTCCTTTGGTTCACCTGATTTTCCCATATTGAGTATCCTCAGCCAGCATCTAACCAATGATGTTGGGAGATACCGAGTTTTGCTGACAGCTGCTACCACACCACACCACAGAACAGAACAGAACACAAACACACACACGCACATACACAAAGACACACACACACACACACATGAAGCCAGAGACAAAGATACAGACAGCACACACGCACACACACACACACACACGAACACAACCACACAGACCGAGAAACACACGGACACACACAAAGACATGCAGGCACAATCGCACACGCAAGCACACAAACGCGAAGCCTTGCAAAAAACACACGCGCTCAAACACACAAACACACGCACAAACTCACGATCGCACAACCACACAAAAGCCCCAAAACACAGACTCGCATTGAATTGCCCCCTGGGCTTCCCGATGGATCACTTATTCCGCTGCCCACCCCTGCTGTGCCAATGTACATTTGGCTGCTCGAGCCAGATGTCAGCGCAACGCACGAAGCTCTACAGTCCACTGCGAGGCTCAAAAGGGCGCCACCATGGATAATTCTTATTGAGCGGCGAGCGCCAACAAAAGCCGGTTGTCAACGTATCGGACGCTCAAGGAGAAACACCGGTGACAATTGGTTTCCCATGGCAGCGCCGTGTGTTTGCCTTGCTGCAACAGCCATCTGCTGAAACAAGCAAGGGGGAAGGATGTCGGTAAACGCGACAAAGGCAAAACGGCTTTGCTTCGGGCCTGTTCCCGAAACATGCAGAATTCAATCTGCTGTTCGATAAGATGTGCGCTAAATGTAAGCGTGTCAGCTTGGGGACGAAGCTGCTTGCACAGGGCAATGCTCGAATCGAGCGGGCAACCGTTGAGGAAACTAGTCGTCCGATCCTAAGGAATCTGGCCAACATTTCTTCACCGTTGCTTTGCAACACACAGCTCCCTTCTAAAAGGCATCAAAGCTTGGAACACCTAGTTGGGGCAACGTTTCGGCCTTCGGGCTTTTGCTCGTCAGCCGCTTCTCAATGAAAATGGATTGCTCCCAACAAAACTGATGAGTTGCTTGACCAAAAATCCAGACACTGAGGGCGAGAAGATTCGGCCTACATTGTAATTGCGCCATCCTTTGTTTGCGAGTTCTGGAGCTCCAGGCTGCTAGCCTAAGCACTATATTCCTGTCAAACAAAGAGGCTGCTGAGTGGCAATCGTGGGGGTCTGCCAAAACGGGCCGCGCAAGCCTCAACAATGTTCCAAACTTGGGCAGGCTTTGGCTGCGAAGATGACCAGACTCCGTGGATACGCAAGCATTTGCCATGAAAGAGCTTTGCAAGAAGTGCGGGGGCGAAGCAGTCCAAACGGCCAAACACTTTGCTTGGCCCAGATGCGGTGGTGTGGTGTGGGGGCAGGCAGGCAGGATGGGGGGGATTACTGGGGGATGGCCTTGTGCACCTTGCATTCGTGTTTGGGTTCTGGGTGTATTTGCTCTTCACGACGCTTGTCACTTCTGAGGGCCTGAGGAAAGCCGTTTAGAAACCTTCTTGAGAAGTTGTAAACAACGCGCTGGAAGAAATGTAAACAGCATCAACAGATTCAACACGAGACTATTTCCAAGCGACTGTCAAGAAAGGTGATGACAAACTCAATGCCAGCCAGCTGTGGCTGATGCCGGGGTGGGCACGTGGCGGTGAGGCCATGCTAGCTGGAGAGGGAGGAGGCAGCTTGCTTTGAGCTGCCTCCCTCCCATTGAGAACGCTCGGCTTGTGTGACTGGCCCAAGCGAATCTGGATTCCCAAATCCCAACCCTGCAATCCAAACTCATGAGCCTTGCTTTGCGACTTGCCCTGCCCATGTGTTGAAAAAGCGCTGATCAGGCTTTTCCTTGCCAACGCACGCCGGGTCACCAGTAAGACACTGAACACTTATGCGAAGACTGGACTGCATGGACACAAGGCCCTCAAAAACGCAAAATTTGCTGAGCAACCGTTCTATCAAATCGAGTGCCGGTTCCGCGGAAACCAGCACTCCTTGTCTGCCCGTCTTGCCCAGGCAAGCCTTGCTGGAGCACCACCTTTCCATTCAGCTCTTGCTGTCGCTCCTTGAGTCAGAGCTGCTGGAACTACTGGACTCTAGTCACGTTGAATGGAGACACTGGGCGTTCTCAGCGTCAAACCACTTGTCCCTGCGTTTTTTGCTCTGTCGCATCAAGCAAGAACAGCAAAGGGGCCTTGATAAAGCAATCGCTTCGCATGCGGCGCCGGCTGTGAGAGCTGTCACCGCAGGATGAAAGTCGTAGCGACATTGGCTGGTTGGTGGCGGTAATGTGCCCACAAATTTGCACCAGCAATATTCTCATTTTCGCTCACGCCCATTGTCTCTTGGCTGGCCGGAAAATGGGCTGATCGTAGACGCAGACTGCAACAGCCTTCCCCAGGTGGTGTGTGGCAACCCTGCGCTTGCCATGGCCCGCGCTACTGCGGGCAAGCGCGCTGGGCGCATCCGCTAGAGAAGCTTGCTGCATTCAGCAGCGAAGGCCTCCGAATGCTCGCAGCAGAGGCTTCATTCATCACACTGAGGAACACTGTGCGCCCCCCAGCTGGCACTGATTTGCAGAGCCTTTGTGTCGGGTGTGGGCTAGCTGGACAAAGCCTGCCCTAGGTGGCAGTCAAAAAAGAAGATTCTTGCAAAACCTTGCAGAATGTTGACACGCTGCTTTCGAAACCTCGGATCGCGCAACACGAGCGCAAACGGTCGAAAAGGTGGCTTGTCAAGAAGTCTCGGACGTGTCCTGACGTGCACGGGCTTGAGAAATGTCTGTTTCAGGTTCTGGTGACTTTTGCGGGTTTGCGAGATTGCACTGGGCAGACTGGGATCGGGCCCTGATCGTGCCAGGCTCGGCTTAGACTGGGCTGGGATCGAGGGTCACGCTGGACCGGAGCTTGTTGGAAAAATGCGTCAGACAGCTAATCTTCAACTCCAGAGAGTTCTGAACACTGAGTTGGCATACTCAGTCTTGCCCGAGATGGGTTGATTGCCCCATGCAACAAAAGTTGCGGGTGTCCTCTTGAAACAAACGCAGCCAAGCTGTCACCTCGGGCAGCTCTGGGAAGGGCTGGCACAAGACAGGGCTGCTTCAAATTTGCTTCACATTGTTAGCTATCAAAGCAGAAAGCCGAGGTACGCTGGTCACCGTCCTCAGCTCTTTTCGGGCCAAGCCCGTGCACTTTGCGTCCAGCAGGGGGCGTAACTTCCAGCGACACGCAAGGAGCTTGCCTCATCTACAACGGTGCCGATTTTGTTGGCCCAGACATAATGAAGCACTTGGGGGACTCAAGCAGGCGGGTAGATGGGTACCATGTAATATGGGGTCCGTTTTTGTCTTTGGATTTCCCGATGTTTTCCTCGTTTTTCCTGGCAGGTGCGATCTCCCTTGGTCCTGCGGTGGTTTTGACTTGTTTTGCACCAGCGCTGTCAACATCCCCGGCATCGTATTAACATCCCCAGCATCGTTTTCAACATCCTCAGCACTGCCGGTTGGCTTTTTGGCTCAGGGTGGGTTCCAGGCTTGTTTTTAGGGGAAGTTTGGGAGCATGGCTTAGTGCTGGTTTCTAGTGGGCTTGTTGGGTTGGTTTAGGGTGTGGCCTTAGGAGGATTTAGGAGAGTTTTAAGGTGGCTTTGGGATGGCGTAGTGTTGGGCTTGTTTTCGCGGGAGGGAGGGGATGGGTTGCTATGGGGTTTGCTTTGGGTTTGTTAAGGGGTGGTCGGTCTGCGTGTGGGTTTAGGGTGGGATTAGTGCTGGCTCAGGGTTGCTTTAGGATGGTTTGGGGTGGCATGCGGTTTGCTTAGCGCTGCTTTAGGGTTGGTTCAAGGTGGGCCTACTAGGGATCTTTTTGTGCTTGTTTAATTAGTCCAGGCTCAGGTTCCTTTAGGGTTTCTTTTGGTTTGTCTTTGTTGGTTCTAGTTTTAGCGGCGGTTTAGGGCGAGTTTATCCATGAAGAAGCGGGGGGCGTTTGGGGGGGGAGGGGGGGGGGCACCCTCCCACTTGTGATGCTGAGGGTGCAGAAAGACAAGCCACAACAAGCAACGAAAACCGCCCAAAGCCACAAGACCTAAAACAGCCAGCGTGGAGCAGAACAAAGCAACCAAAGGAAGCCAAGAAGCATAAGCGCCAAAAAGCCGAGAAGCCAAGAAGCCCAGACGCCAAAGAAACTCCAGGAACAAATCCTAAAGAACAAACGAACAATCCTTAAACAAACAGCCCTCCGTGTGGTACGCCAGATTTGAATCTGTTTCATTTTCAGTCCACGCAGAATAAAATAGACTTGGAGACCCAACATATATGTCTGTTTTTGGAGGGTGTCCTTTTTGGGGCTTCAGGGATGATGTCAGGAGTTTCACACACAGACGCGCGCGCGCGCGCCCACCCCCCCACCCACCCACCCACCCACCCACCCACCCACCCACCCACCCACCCACCCACCCACCCACCCACCCACCCACCCACCCACCCACCCCCCCACCCACCCACCCACCCACCCACCCACCCACCCACCCACCCACCCACCCACCCACCCACCCACCCACCCACCCACCCACCCACCCACCCACCCACCCACCCACCCACCCACCCACCCACCCACCCACCCACCAACCCACCAACCCACCAACCCACCAACCCACCAACCCACCAACCCACACACCCACCCACCAACCCACCCACCCCACCCCACCCCACCCCACCCCACCCCACCCCACCCCACCCCACCCCACCCCACCCCACCCCACCCCACCCCACCCCACCCCACCCCACCCCACCCCACCCCACCCCACCCCACCCCACCCCACCCCACCCCACCCCACCCCACCCACCCAC